TTTATTGAGTGCTTATTACAAACCAGACATTATTCAAAAGATATGTATTATATATAACCCTCCCAACATGTACGTAACAACTACACGACATAAGAACTATTATTATCCCTATATGACATATGAGAAAATTTGAGAAAAGAAAGATATGGTGACTTTATCCATAGTCACATGGGTATGGATGGAATTTGACCTCAGGCAGTGTGACACATCATCCTCAACATCCCTCTACTGTACTGCCACTTTCTCTTCCCCTAAAACATGCTCAATCCATTCTTGTTTCCCAAGTAATTATCCAAGCTCTTTTTCACAATGAGAAGTTGGTATTTTACCTAGTTCAGACATAAAAAGCTCTCCTCTAAATTCATCTGAAATGTGCCTATGGAAAAATACAGTATAGTAGCTCATGTGTATAATGGGGATTACAGCAGCTGTCTCCTAGGATATTTACTGGAATGAATGAAATAGGACAAAAGCATTTAATACAGTGCCTGGTACCAATAACTGTACAATGCATGACCCCAATTGGTGATATGCCTCTGCATAGGTCTATTCCCTGTAACCATACATATTGATCATGTTTGCTTTACTCATGTTAGTCTTTCAGTTCCTAAAGGCTATGATCATGTTTCCTCTAAACTGCAGCTGCTGCTTTCTTCCTCCTCCTCCTTCTCTTCCTCCTCCTCCCTCTCTTCCTCCTCCTCTTCCTCTAGTTTCTTCAGTGGGATCTCACAAGACATTTCTAGACCACTCACCATCATCCTATCACATCCTCCTCCATCCTTCCCAGTATGACTTAGGTGAGGAGGACAGAAAATCACTGAACAGAGCAGAATCATAGTCTCCTTGGGTTTGTACACTACATGTCTATTGATGAAGCCAACAGGTTTTCTGTTTGTTTGTTTGTTTGTTTCATTTTGCTTGCAATTCTGGGAACAAAACCCAGCTCACTCCCGCTAGGCAAGTGCTCTGCTGCTGAACTACACTCCCAACCCTGAAGCATACACTTGTATTAGCACTTAGGCAGCCATATTATATTTGGTTCACTCCGCTGAGTTCACAGCCACCTCCAATACTATTTCTTTTTTTTCTTCAGTACCAGGGATCGAACTCGGGTCCAATACTATTTCTTTCAAGTCTGAAGTTGTGAAATCACTTTTTTTTTTCACATCCTGTATATGCAGTTGGTTTCATGAATCCTTAGGTGGATCATTTAACTTTTTTCCATATTTTATTTCATCTCCTCTGACTCAATCTATCTTATCCTAACATCCTTGGAATCTTAATTTTCTCTTCCATTTATGTATGGATTTTTTTGAAGGAAAACATTTATTGATACATTTTAGATATACATAATGATAGCATCTATCATAGGGAATTTGTACCAGTACATGATATATCTTGTTTCTTCTTTTTTTCCCATCCCCCCTTCAATTCCTCTTCTCCTCCTTATTTACAAAAGCTTTGTTTCCATTTTTTCCTTCTAGTCTCTTTTTTCCTTGTCCCTTCTTTACCTTCCCTTCCCCCTTTCTTGTTCCCCTTCTCATTTGAACATTTTCTTCCCATTTCCTGATATCTATTATACATTTTGGTCCTTATTTACACTTTTGGTTTTCACACCATAGAAACAATGTGGTATTTAAACATGTGTGTCAGATTTATTTCACTTAAGAGTATGGTCTCAGGCCAAGGATTTAGCTCAGTGGTTCCACTGTCTGCCTCACAGTGCAAGGTCCCGAGATCGATCCCCAATACCAAAAAAAAAGATGCATCCAGGGCTGGGGATTTAGCTCAGTGGTTTCGCTGCCTGCTGTGCAAGCGCAAGGACCTGAGTTGGATCCCCGGTACCAAAAAAAAAAAAAAGATGCATCCATTTAGCTAGAACTGTTTCAAGCTTATCCTTCTTTATGGAAAAGTAGTACTCCATTGTGTATGTATGTATATATATATATCATATATATATATCATATATATATAAGATATTCATCGGTTGATGGGCATTTGGGCTGTTTCCAAGATTTAGGTACTACAATCCATGTTGCTATAAACATGGATGTGCATATATCGCTGTGGTATGATACTTTTAATTGTTTCAGGAAGATATCAAGAAGGGGAATAGGTGGGTCGAATGTAACCTCTAGTTTTCATTTTTTGAGGAATCTCCACACTGATTTCCACAGTGGTTGCACCAGTCTACACTACCTCCAACAGTGGAGAAAGGTTCCTTTTTTTCTCCACATCCCTGCCAACATTTGTTATTGTCTGATTTCTTGATAATAGCCATTCTTTCTGGAGTGAGATGGAATCTCAGTGTTGTTTTAATTTGCATCTCTCAAATGACCAGCAATGTTGAGTGTTTGTTCATATATTTATTTGCCAGTTCTACTTCTTCCTCTGAGAAATATCTATTCATTTCAGATCCCCATTTTTGGATTGAGTCTTTAAATGAGGGGAGTCTGATTTTTTTCAGTCCTTTATGTATTCTAGATATTAGTCCTTTGTCTGAGGAACAGCTGGCAAAAATTTTTTCCCGCACTATGGGTTGTCTCTTTACTCTTATGCGTGGATTTTTTTCTTTTTTTTGAGACAGGGTCTCGCTATGTAGTTCAGGCTGGCCTTGAACTCACTATATAGTCCAAGTTGGCCTCAAATTTGTGGCAATCCTCCTGCCTCAGCCTCTTGAGTGCTGGGATTACAGGCATGTGCCACCATAAGATAATTCCTATAAAGTGCTAAGCACAAATGGCCAGCACAAGATAATCCCCAGATAAACATGAACAATTGTGGTTGTTATTTTCCCAACACTCAGCACAGGACCTGGCCCATTGTACATCCTCAATAAATATTCATTGATTAATGAATGAATGATTGGATCAAAGATAGTGGAATGAATGAATATCCCCTCTCCAGAATCTCAGGCTCAGTAAATTTTATGTTATTCCTCAAAATAGGAAAACTGAAGCTCAGAGAGGTTAAATAATTTTCCAAAGGTTACATAGCTGGACCAGGATGGAGAACAGGTAGAGGAACCAGTAGTGGACTCGGGTCTGCCTGATTTCAAAACGTGTGACAACGAATCCTTCCTTACTATGCTTCCTTACATCTGCATTCAGATCAGAAGAATTAGTAGAGGAGTCAGACTTTATTCTGACTTTATTACGTGTCCCAAGCCCAAGAAAAGTTGAGACTCCTTTTAGGATCTTGGGACATGGAGATGTGGAAAGGACCAAGAGATGGGGAGCAGAACACTAGATGCCCCCTCTCTCCTGCCCTCTGGGCCACTCATATTCCCTGTCCTAAACTCTGCTCCACTATTTCTCCCAAGGAACTAAAAACATGGTATGTCCCCAAGGAGGCACTTCTGAAGCCAAAGAGCCAAGACCAGGGAGGTGATTCAACTGCTTGCCAAGACTAGGCTCAGTACAGTCAGGGGCCCAGAAGAGCAAGCACAAAGAGTGAGGAGACCTGCAGGAGACCTGTGGTTGCCACTCTGCCTCCACCTCTTTGGGTATCAGCTTCCTATCTGTAAAAGTGGCAAGGAGATAATAGTCATCCTGCCGGCTTCTTAGGATGGTATGAGGCGCAACAATGATAACAGATAATGTTTACCTTTGTGCCAGCTACTAACTATCCTGAGTGCCTTTTATATCCTTACGATTATCTTCATGAAATGGATATATTGTTTACTCCCATTTTTTTCTTCTTATAAATAAGGAAACCAATGCTCAAGGAATTTTTTGGTACCAGGGATTGAACTCAGGACCTTGAACTTGCGAAGCAGGCAGCAGCACCTCTAAGCTAAATCCCCAGCCCTGCTCAAGGAATTTTTATTTGCTAAAGACCTCTAACTCTAAATGACCAAACTGAAGTGTAAACTGTGCAGTTTTGTGAGTCCTTCAGAACTGGAGACCAGGGATGGAAACGATGAAGCATGAAATAAGTCTGAACTCTTTGGGCAAGAATGTACTGGACAGTTACAGGACTTCTTTTTTGTTTTTGTTGTTGTTGTTGTTGTTGTTTTGGGGGTTTTTTGGTACCAGGTATTGAACTGGGGTCCTTGTGCTTGCGAGGCAGGTGGCGGAACCACTGAGCTAAATCCCTGGCCCAAAGGAATTTTTTTTTTTTGAGGACTTCTTATAATTGGGGCTGGAGGTTGTCGCTAGGGAAGAGCCCAGGAAAGTGGTTTCACAGATTTGAAAGTTGGGATGGAAGGGCTCCTCCCACCTGCAATTAATAGACTGAATCCCTAGAGTGGAAAGTAGGAGGAGATGCACAGTCTAAGTTGCTCCTTTGTGGAAGAGAGTTCCAGGGCAGGTTAGGGTGGGAGGGAGAGCAAGCTCCTCAGGAGATGTCCCTCCAGATTGACTGCTTGTCTGTTCAAAGCCTAGGCCTTCAAGCAGGAAGAGCAGGGGACTTGCTGCGGGATCGCCTCAGTGCTGCAGGGGACAGGCGTCTTCTGGAGGTGCCTGCAGGGCACTGGCTCGTGGTCCTCCACAGGTCAGAGCTAGAGGGTGGAGGAACCGCCCTGCACCTTCAACCCAGTGCTGCTGGAATTCCTGGTGTTCCCACTCTCCCAGAGCGAGGCCCGGGGATGTAGCTCAGTGGGACTGTGTCTGCTTGGAAAATGCAAGGTTCTGAGTTCAACCCCCATACCAAAAAAAAAAAAGCTGCTCCAATATGAAGCATCAATAAATGAATCAATTAATGAAGAGTTGGGAATAGCCTATCTGATCATTGTTGGGATTCCTAATATGATAACATAAACAGCTAGAACAACACATCAAAATAAGAAGCAAGAAGAAACAGAGCAGCACTAAATCATCATTTTAAAAAAACCACAACTGGCCAGGGATTTAGCTCAGTGGTTTTGCCGCCTGCCTCTCAAGTGCAAGGACCCAAGTTCAATCCCCAGTACCAAAAAAAAGAAAAAAAAAAAAAACCACACACACACAACTAAGTTTTCTTAATACTATATACAATTTAAAACACAGTGGTGGGTAGTAAGTGAGGAAGGAGAATGTTTCTCTCTGCCTACAGTGAGTGTTCTTATTCCACTAACCTCCTTAACAGGACTCTTCTACTCTGCCTCTGTGGAGGAAAACTTCCCACAGGGCTGGACTAGCACAGCCAGCCTTTGCTTTTACAGTCTGCTCTTGCCCATCACCATACGAGTGTATGTGTTCTTCCACCTTTGGACTTGGATGGGTATTAAGCTCTTCAGGCATAATTAAGGCAACCATAGCCAAGATGGCTTATGTATTAAGTCTCAAGCATCTGTCTCTGAAAGCTCAATTCAATGGACACACTGGAGACCCACTGGAGACCCATTTAGTTTGGAGGAAAGTTGCTTTGCCTTGCTTAATTCAGGTTTAGGACTAAGAGGCTTAAGCTGCAGAAACTTTGGTTGTACTTCTGTTCTGCCCTTTTTGAAGATTCTGACTGCTGTATCAGAGAAACATTTCAATAAAATGTCTTGATGGAGATTAACTCCCCTAATCATGAAAAACAAAAAGAAGAAGAAGAGCAGGGCTCAGATGAGGGCTCAGATGATGCTCCGCTGGGATTAAGGCAAGGAGAACCTCCAGTTCTGTCAGACCTTCCCAAGAAACCAGGGACACAAAATCCAGGAAATGAGAACTTGTGGCATCCGGTACCAACTGGGACCCCTTCATTCCCCATCTCTCTGCCCTTGAGTTTCCTGCACCCAGTTTCTAAACTGTTCTCCTTGTACCCGTAGCCATCTCATTGGCTTCCCACCACCTCCCTGCAAGCTCATTCTCCTCTCATACACACCAGGACTCTATCTGCCATGGTAGCTCCTCTGTTTATCTCAAGTTCCCAGGGTCACCACTAGCCAAACAACAAAGCCAGGCCAGGGAGAACTCGGCTCCAGACTCAAACTGGTCCCTCGGGGACAGGTCTCCAAACCAAGGAGGCAGCTCAAAGGTAGGCTGTCCCATGAATTGGGCTCTTGCTTCAGGCCCTGACAACCCAAGTTTCAAGAGCAGAGAGAAAGGACACAAGATCTGCCCATAGCTTGGCAAGAGTCCCTACTATTGAGACAGCTTTGCCCAGGAGCCTTGGGAATCAAAGGCCCAGCTGCAAAAAGGTGGGGAAGATTTTTGAGGCCCCCAGGATGGGAGCCAGAGGCTTGGGCTTCTGGTCCTCCCTGTGACTCTCATCAGCCAGGTAGAGCCTGGCCCTGAGCCCTCAGGCTGAGGACTGAGGTCCCTAAATTTCCCCACCAGAGGGCTGTGTTTCTCTCCCAGAAGTTAGTGACCCATACCTCTCCCAAGATTCTACCAACAAAAGGAAGTGAACATTTACTCTGGGCCAAGCCCCAAGCCAGAAACATTGTCAGCAGGTGCCTAGCACCTGTCTGTCTGAGGCCAGTGGGAGTGTATTTATCTAATGTGTAATTATGTACTTATGGCATCCAAAATGTAAAAGAAAGGAACGCCAGTTCTGACTCTGGAGCTGTGGAAGGTGATGAGTGAGCAGTGAGGGTGTGGAGCTGGAGGGCAGCCAGGTCACAGACAAGGTCCTGTGAGAAGGATGTCAGGGCAAAGTGCAGATGCCTCCATACGGAAAAGATCGCTGGCAGCCCATATTTTGCAGTGGAGAAGTAAAGGGCCCTTTAAATGGTACCCAGTTAATTCTGCGAGTATGGAGGGCAGGGGTTTCAGGACAGATGCTGGTGAATGAAGTAGGGATGATTTTAAAGGAAACAAAACCCCCAATATCCCTCTCATTTCAAGATCTGTTTTAGAGACAACAAGCTAAGGAATGTAAAACTCTAATTCTGTTGCCAGGCCCCAGCAGAGAAGAAAAAAAATTTTTAGGACCAATAGGCTTTTGGAAGGAACAGGAATGAGGTTAGAGGTGAGCACCAGCTCTGCCCAGCTGCACTCTGCCTCGTTCTACTTCTGTTCCCAGGAGTGGGGGTGGGGCCCGACCTTATGCATAAGGCAACCCACCTTCCCTCTGTGGGTTAGGAATCGGGGGTCATAGGTCCCCTGGAATAAAGCAGTCTGCCACAGTTTTAGGAACAGTTTTGCTTTTTATGTTATCAATGTACATTTTAATCTAACAGCCTAACGCCCTCATACATCTTACCCCTGCCCAAGCCCACTCCCCTGTCTCCCACCCCTGCCCAATCAGCATCTCATCTGCCCCAAGGGCAGAAAATCACAGGCACAAAGGTGATTCAAAGAGGAAGTGGCACCTGTGGCTCTCCCTGGAGATGGTTAGAATAGCACCTGATCCCCTGGAGAGTCCAGAGGCCAGGGAGGCTCACGTAAAGGGAGATGGCAGGCTGAGTCTCATTGGAAAACACTGTCTTCTGGGTCTCAGTCTCATTCAGAGTCTGTCCCCTGAGGTTGCCCCTGCCAGTCAGAGCAGGAGAAGAACAGAATTCCTCAGACAGACTTGTGGATTAAGGGAGACCTTGAGCCCAAGTTACATTCAGAGTGAGCAGGACTGCTGGAATCCCCTTTCATGCAGGCTGTGGAGATACTTCTGGCTGCAGCTTCCCAACCTCATTGGGATTCCAAGAGCGTGAAGAGGGACTCTCAAAATGTGCTACCCCAGAAGACAGAGGGACAGTGCTGCTACCTGCAGCCACAAGACTCCACAACCATGTCCTCGTACTGCTTATACACCACGTTGTTGGCAGAGTCAATGAAAAGGATGCTGATGGGACTCAGCCGTGTGGGCACACAGCAGGTGGGTGGTGTGGACTCAGGGTCCATAGAGTTCATCAGGGTCTGGATGACTGCGTGGTTTGTGGGCTCCAGGTGGGAGCGCAAGGGGAACTCACATAGCCCTTCACAGTGGAAGGCCTCATATTCAAGAGGTGCAATGATCCAGTCATCCCAGCCCATGTCCTTGAAGTTGACATGCAGGGCCTTCCGACTACAGCGGGCCTTGAGGTTCTTACTAGGTCGCTTCCCCTGGCGAGTGGCCAGTGGGGCCCGTCGTTTCCGCCGTTGGCTAAACAGATACTCATACACAGTCTTATCGTCCTGGCCAGAGCGGGCCTTAATCTCATTAAAGAACAGGTCCCGTTTCTTGGTGCGGCCAAACACCAGGAACAGGGCCTTCTCATGGACTTGCCGGGCAGCCCGGTCAAAGCCCAGGCCACGGAGGTCCACAGCCCGGCCACGTTCCCAGGCCTCCAACTCCAGGCACAGCTGGGCCGAATTCTTAAAGTTTCGGAAGAGCTTCCAGATGTCGAACACCTCCCAGCCAGACCCGTCCAGGCCTGGCACGGAGCGCACATCCAGCAAAGCTGCCGGCTGCCTGCTGCTAGGGCAGCTGGACAGCTTCAGCTGGGCAGCCCGCCCGCCACCAGGGTCCACTGGCTTGGCTGTGTCTGAGGACTTCTTCCGCAAGATCCGAAGCTCGGCCCCCAGCAGCCCATCCTTCTCCAGGGCACTAATGTCAAACACATACCTCTGCTTCCTGACCACAGGGCCTCGGTCATCTAGAGAGAACAGCCAGAAGTCAATTTCTGCAACCTCACCAGCAAAGCCAGTCACCTCTAGGCCTCAGGGGAGGGCCTCGTTCTCTTTGCCTCAAGAGAGTTTTCTTTAACCTCTTCCCTACTGTTACAGAGGCCAACACCCCAAGCCACTAAGTGCCTTTTTCAAAATGAGGAAGCTTATTACATAGTTGACAAAGTAGGGATGTTTATCTGTAGGGGTGGCTGTGGATGACTTGAGTGATGGGGTGTTTGTGACAACGATCGATGTGTATTAGAGCCATAACTGCCTTTGGTCCCACTGTCTCTCTCCCCCATCCGTGATCTAACCTCATAGTTCATTTGTGAGATAGCTGCAATGTGCATTAAAATTATCCTTTTACCAGAGGAAGAACCTAAAGTTCAAAGAAGCTAGGTGAATTGCCCAAAGTCACCTAGCTAGGAAAAAATAGAGTTGGAACTCTAGCTTAGAGTTTTATACCCCATCCTGAACTGCTTCCACTATACCTTAAAAGAGATAGTATATATATATTTACTTATTTCACACTAGGTGTGTGAGTGTATGACAGTTTATGTGTATGCATGTGACTGAGTTCATTTGTGAATATGCAAAGTAAAATATATGTGACATGTTATATGTATGTATATTTGGACTTGTGTGAGTATTTGAAGGGTGTGCATATGTACGTGTATGAGTCTATGTGTTTATGGAGGAAGGTTGTGTGTGTGAGACAGAGAGAGAAAGAAAGAGGGGGATCAGTAAGTAGTATCTCTGAATCAGCAAGCCCTCTTTTCTGAATACCAACTTGCCATTGGGGAACCTTCATATATTGCTCTAGAAGGTAACTAATTAGGCCTTTAAACTCTCCATCTCCCCCTCCCCAAGCTCCATTAGTGCTGGGGGGCACAAAGACTTATTTTATGAGCCCCCAAGGGGTCACAGCTTTCCCTGACTGGGCAGGCAGCCAGGCCACCTCCCCCACCTCAGCCAGACCTGCTGCTTCTGTGCCTCCCCCATCCACCCCGTGTCATTCCCCCCACAGACCAGCTCTAATGAGGAGCCTTGCCCACTCTGCCCCTCCCCCACCCTTCCAGCCAAAGCCTCAAGATCAGAACCAGAGCATAGGAGCTGCAAGGAACCTTAGCTACCAGTGGTCTATGTCCCTCTTAACACTACGGAGAAATTGAGGGACTTGCTGAGATCACACAGCAAATCCAGAGGAAGAGCTGTGGCAGCAACACAAGGTGGGCAGAGGGAGAAGGGAGGAGAGCAGGTGTTCTCCTGGGTTAATGATGAAAATGATCTGTGTTTAAGATAAGACATAACGTTTTCACACTTGAAAGGCTCTCAGAAAGCACCCGTCAAGCCCCTATATATTTATACAGATGGTGAAAAATGAGACTCCAAGGTGGGAAGGGGCTTTCACACTGTTAGATTCTAAGTCTTCTGCCCCCTTTACTATCTTCACCTCTCCTGCCTTCTCTGCCCCCTAACTTGGGGACAAAGTTACAGAACCATGGTGACCTAAAGATCCATTTCTCTCTTCACTCAGAAAACCCTGGAGCTTGGAAAATTTGGCCAATCCACACAGGTACAGAGCATGGCCCCAGTAATCAAGAGTCTTGGAATCTAGTCTCCAATTCTGCCTCCAATTGGCAGGTCTTATCTCCTCTCTGGGCTTTAGTGGCCCCCTCTGCACCTTGCAGGAATTGGACTTAGTGAACCCTAGGTGCCCTCCTTGGCTGGCATGCCAGCAGCCTGGACCTGTCTGTGTGAGATAAGTTCCAGTCACCCACCCCAGGCCGGATGCACATACTGTCCCTGGCCTGTGTGGCAGTCTCAGAGCTCTGGAAGCCCCTCAGTGCATGCACATGTCCCTCCCTGCCACCCTGCCCCCTCACCTTGCCCTTTGTCAATAAAGCTGGTGATGGTGTTGGCCAGGCCAGCCTCCAACTTCACGCTGCTGTTGCTTCCCTTTCTGTCAGCATCGGACAGCGTCCTGTACAGCGAGAGCATGTACTCGTGGGGTGTGATGGGGGGCGGGCGGAAAGGCTCCTTGGGCTCTCGAGGGGGCCCAGGCTCCCTGGACTTCTTCAGCAGAAAGGAGCTTGGGACAGATCCTGCTTTGGGGGGTACCTTGCCCCCAGGAAGCTGTCCTTTTGGGGTTACAGTCCATGATGCAGCCTGCCTGATCTGAGGAGGGGATCCTGGCTTGGGTTCAGGACCACCAGATCTAGAGGGCAGCTTTTTGGGTTCATTTTTCTTGGCCTGTGTCTGCCCAATGCCTCCCTTTGCCTTGGCAATGGTGGCCCCCCCACCATAGCTGTGACCACCTGGCCTAAAGATGTTCCGGGCCACGGGGGGCCTCTCCTTGGCCTCCGCTTTGGCCAGTCCTGGCCTGGCCCCCGAGGATCTCTGGCCCAAGTCAGGCGCACCCAACACAGTGCAGATGAGTTGCAGATCCAACCAAGCCAGATGCCAAAGCAAGAAAGTGAGGAGTTTGGGGAGTCTCATCCTCTGGCCAGCCGATGAATGACACCGGAGAGAACGGCGGCAACAGCGAAAGTGCCTCTGGTTTGGCAGGAAAAACCATGAAAGGAGTGGATCTTCAGAAGCAGTGGCAGCAGCAGGAAGGGCTTTTTCTTCAGTCTGAGACTCTTGAAGTCCGCCTGGCGTGTGTCTGTATCCAGTCCCATAGTGGAAATGCTCCCGTATCCAGACGTGCACTGTCTCCAGTCAGCAGCTGAAAATAACTCGTTCTTGAAAGGAGAAAGCCTACCGCCCCCTTTCTCCCACACAACTGACTGAGGACTTGAAGGAGGCTTGTATAAGGCTGAGAGATTTTTCCAAGAAGGAAGAATGGCGTAATGCTGCCTATGTGCTCCAATTTTTTTTCCCTCTAGTTTTGAATCCTTTCCAGTGAAAATACTTCACACGCGCACACACACACACACACACACACACACACACACAAACACACACATGCGGCCTGCAGGTGCTCAGAAAAATCTTTTACAAACCTGAACTCAGGAATTGGAAATGGAATTCCAACCCAAACCAATTTAATTACTCTCTGATGTCATGCTGTCTAAGTTCATTTAAGTGCGATATATTTATGTGAAAAAAGTCACCGCTGCCCTTTGGAGGCCACGGCTCACGGGGACTCTTGGCACTGAGCCCCACAGTGGGCCTTGAGGCTTAGGGGGCCTCCCAGTCCCCAGAGCAGATTCAGGGGTCTTCACCTCCACCTCACAGAGCGGCCCACTCCACCATCCTGTAGAGAGACACTGAGGAGTGAGCTCAGAGATCTGAAACCACAGAAGCGCGGGGAGTGTGGGTTTTCAGCGAAGTCCTTGTGTTTTTAAAGTAGTTTCAATCTCTGCATCTAGTCTCAGACCTGATTTGTTTTGTGTGTGTGTGTGTGTGTGTGTGTGTGTGTGTGTGTGTGTGTGTGTGTTGGGGAGGCAGCACAGATGGCAGCGTTTACCCACAGTTTCTTTTATTTTAATAAACTTGTGGTGACCCAGAGACAGAAAAAATATCAGTGCCCACTACACTCCTCCCTCCCCCAAATGCCATTGGCTGAGCTTAGATGATTCCTCCAGGCTGGGGGGGGGGGAGCACTGCTACCCTTGAGCCTGCTGCCACTAACCCATCAAAGACTCCTCAGTTTTCTTAGATTGGCTCAGCCCAGAAGCAGAAGTCCCAGCCTGAGGCAGCAGCGGCCCCTGCAGGAGGCTGAAAAAGCGATTTCCCACAGGATGCTTTTGTAGCTCAGAAGTCTGAGCTCCAACTGGACTCAAAGGTTTCTTCAAGTGCCTTGTTGAAGCACTAAAGCCTTTTTCCTTTTGGGACCTTTTGCCCCATTTCTCCCTGGGCATCTTACCACAGAGTGATGGGGGGAAGCTGCTCCCTTCACTTGGCAGATTAGCCTCCGGTCACTCCCAGGACTGGAGGAAGTCTTCCTCATTCTGAGACTTTCAGCTGGAAACCCACCACCCCCAGGAAGCCTTCCCTGATTCCCATGTGGAGCCAATGACTTCCTCTCATACATTTCCCTACAACTCTTGCCACATTGGAAGAGGAATGGTAGAGGAAAAAGCAGAAAAGCAGTAGTTAGGTAGGGTCCTTCGTGAATGTTTTTTTTGGGGGGGGGGTACCTGGGATCAAACTTGGGTCCTTGGCTTTTGAGGCAGGCGGTGGAACCACTAAGTCCCCGGGCCCATGAATGTTTTTTTTTTTTCAGTGCTAGGAAATGAACCCAGGCCCTCACACATATTAGGCAAACTTCACCACCGAGCTACATTCCCAGCCTTCCTTCTTAATCTGAGATCCTTTGAGGCAACCTAACAAATCCCATTCATATGCTAAGGTTGGTTTCTTGACATAGCCCAGCACAGAGTAGATGTCAATGAATGTCTGACAAATGAAGAGTATCAATTTCACTGCTGGGGATAGGGGTGTAGCCTAGTCGGGAGAGCATTTGCCTAGCATATGCAAAGCCCTGGGTTTGATCTCTAGCACTGCAACAAACAAACAAGCCAAAGAAACAAAAACCCCTCAGTTCTGGGGATCCAAGTGCCCCACCATTCACTCCTTGGTGACAATCCCGTGGTCACTGGTCTTCAAGCCCAGCAACATGACTTGGCCACTCCAAGCTTCATATGGTGCTCTAGGTCAGAAAAGACAGTAGAGCTTCATCTCTCCAAGTCAAAAGACTGGTGTGGTTATGCATGATCATGCATATCTATAATTTCAGCTACTTGGGAAGCTGAGACAGGAGGATCACAAATTCAAAGCTAGCCTGAGCAACTTGAGACCCTTTCTTTAAATAAACAAACAAACAAAATAAAATGAAAAGGGCTGGGAATATAGCTCTATGCTTCCTGGCTCAATCCCCAGTACCGAAACCAAAATCAAAAAACAAACACAGGGCTGGGTATTTAGCTCGGTGGTTCTGCTGCCTGCCTTGTAAGTGCAAGGTCCTGAGTTCAATCCCCTGTACAAAAAAAACAAAAACAAAAACAAACCCCCACACGCACACACAAACACCAAAGTTCGAACAACCTATGTATCACCAGCTTTTCTTTGGAGAGTACTTGAAGGAAGGGCTAAATGCATTACTAACCCCCAGGTTCTCCACACTTGGCTTCCCTTTTTTTTTTTTTTTGGTACCAGGGATTGAACTTGGGTCCTTGTGCTTGCACAGCAGGCGGTGAAACCACTGAGCTAAATCCCCGGCCCTTGGCTTCCCTTTTGACTCCCCACCACCACCAGTTCTCTCTGCCATTCCTCCCTCCACTCCATCCCATTTCTGTCACTGTCCTTGTCCTCCTCCCACTGGACCTACTATAATTCCCTTATAAATGGCTTCTAGGCTCTCAGGATCTCTCTATTCCAAGCCTCCCTCTATCTGAAACTTGCCTACAAGTGCCGGCTCCTGTGCCATCTCTGCTGTTTCCTTATCCCCCAGAAAAAGCTCACTCCTTCCAAATTGCCATCACACATTTTCTGTGCTCTTTTCCATTCTGGAAGCTCAAAGCTGATTCATTTGTTGCCCCCACCCCCACCTCCAACACGGTTAGTTTCTCCCACCCTGTATACTTTTTTTCATATTTTTATTGTAACTTAATTCCTTATACTTGTCATAATCTATGTACATATGTCTCCCCACTAGGTTACAACTAGACTATATCATATTTATCTTTCAATTATTCCCAGTGCTTGGCACAGGGCCCAACACATAACAGATGCTCAGTATGTGTTGTATGAATCAATGAACCTCTAACTGGTCCTTGTATACAAAAGCCAAAAGCCATCCTTATGACACATCATGCCTTCTCTGCTGTACTTAGGGTTAATTAAAGGGAAGGATTCTGTCTTGCCACAAATTAGGCGTTCTGTAAACTCCATCTAGTAAATAAATGAAGGATTGAATGAGTCAAATAACCGAGACATCCCTGTATATGGTTTGATAAAGATCAAGGGCTCTAGAGGCAGACCTGGTTTTGAATCCTGGTTTTCCTATTTACCCATCATGTGATCTTAGGAATCCTCCCAACTTCTCTAAAACTCTGACCATGGATCACGACAGTACTTACCTCAAACAGGTTCTTGTGGGGGAATCAATGAAATTAATCATCAATAAAACATCATTAGTTTAGAACCTGGCAAATATTAATAATAGCCACTATCTTTGAGCACTGTTTCTAGACAACCAGACAGTAGCCTTTGTCTTCCATTGCTACGTGTGTGTGTGTGTGTGTGTGTGTGTGTGTGTGTGTTACTGGGGACTGGACCTAGGTTCTCACACAAGGTAGGTAGGAAGTGTTCTACCACTGACCTATATCTGCAGTCCTTTTAAATTTCATTTTGAAACAAGGTCCTGCTAATTTGCCCAGGCTGGGCTTGAACTTGCAATCCTCCTCCCTAGACTCCTGAGTGCCTGGGATTATTTCCATTGCTTTTTTTTTTTTTTCCAGACAGGGGCTTTCTACATAGTTCAGGCTGGCCTTGAGCTCACTGTGTAGCCCAGACTGGCCTCAAACTTGCAGTGATCCTCCTGCCTCAGCCTCCCGAGTGCTGGAATTACAGGTGTGCCCCACTACGCTTAGCTCCATTGCCTTTTTAAAAATTACTCTATTGGGCCGGGGATTTAGTTCAGTGGTTCTGCTGTCTGCCTCACAAGCGCAAGGACCAGAGTTCAATCCCTGGTACCAAAAAAAATAAATAAATAAAATAAAAAATAAATAAAAATTACTCTATTAGCCAGGCATTGTGGGGCCACCTGTAATCCCAGCACTTGAGAGGCTGAGGCAGGAGGATCATTGCAAGTTTGAGGCCAACCTGGGCTACATAGTGAGCCCAAGGCCAGCCTGAATTACATAATGAGACCTTGTCACAAAACAACAACAACAAAAATAGCAAATCTCACAAAATATTTGTTTAATATTTGTTGTCACTGACCATATTCCATTGATTCATATCTACTTATCTTCAAAACAGTCCTTGTGATGAAGGTATTCTTAGTATTCTCATTTTACAGATAAATAAGTTGAAGTTCAGAAAAGTTTAATTACTTTTGGAAGGGTAATTTCTACTTCAACTTATTTTATACCAAGAATCATAATCTAGAAACATAAGTGACAGGTTGTCAAGGGATGTTAGGGTCTTTCAGCCGAGGTCTCATCTAATAGGCCAGGACTTTGGGGGACATGGAGGAATCTCAGGCAGGCATGACTGTCTGAGGGCCAGGGAGCTCCCAGGAATGGGTTGGGAGCAGGGAAAGGGACTCTGAGCTCCGTTATTAGGCCCTCTCCAGGGAGGAGCCTGGGTTCCTGCCTGGCTCTAACTATAAAGGTGACTAATCACTTCGGTCCCCTCTGGTAATTGCAACCAGATGCTGGTGCTGGCATAGCTTCAGTCCCGACATGTTTAATTACTGGGACACAGTCCCTGGGTCCCCTGGGTCCCCCTCCTCCCCCTCTCCTGTCAGCAACATTAATGTCAAACTTAAGGTACAGGACAGGAGCCTTGGGAAGCCACTGGCATGGAAATAATCTTTACGGTCCCTTCCATCATATCAAGCCTTTAACTTTCATAAATGTTTCTCATCCATTATCTCATTGGCACCCCACAAAACATCCTCATAAAGTCAGTAAGCCAGAACATTACTAGATGAGAAAATCATGAACTAAAGAATAATAACAATAATATCTTGCTTTTTTTTCAAGCACTTGGCAATTTTCAAAGAGCTTTCACATTCATTTTGCTGTCTGAATCTTCTGAGATCTCTCCATGAGTCAGTGCAGAAACTAAAAGCACAGGCTCAGGGATGAGACAACGTGGTTTTTGTCCCAGCTCTGCCACTTACCAGTCAAGTAACCTGGGTATTCATTCATTTATTTACTTAATTATTCAGCAATTGGGTGCTGTCTATATAGCAATGGACAAGACATCAAAATCTGTGTCACATTCTGGTGGAAGTGATAGATAAATGAATAATTTCAAAGAATTCTAACTGCTGTGTGGAAAAATTAAGCAGGGTGGAAGAGGTGTCTATTTTAGATAGGAATGCCCCCCTGAGAGGGTGACATTTGAGCAGAGACCCAGGTGTGGTGAGGGAAAGAGCCATGCAAAGGTCCACAGAATGATCATTTGAGGTGGAGGTGACAGAGAATGCAAAGGCCCTGAGGAGTGTGCTGGGCGTACTTGAGGAACCAAGAGAATTTGGAGTGCTGAAGTAGGAGCTGAGAGGTAAAAGGTAGGAGATGAGGTCAGATCATGATGAAAGTACATCATGTGTACCTTTACAAGACATGAAA